TCAACATTTATAAACCCCATGATATTAACCAGGGGATCATCATTCTTTTTTTGCTCTACTGTGATCAGAAAACGCTTTACAATCCGGTGTTCACTCTATACAAACCAGTTCAACTCAACTCATTTCAACCTAACGCTCCCAACAAACACAACCAATCAACCCAGCTCGTATGAAAATACTGGTGAAATTGGCTACTGATCGACATCAACTCACAACTTAAAGAAAATTCACGACAAGCGATCTCCATGACTACAACCATTACTGCTATCTCTTTAGTTTATGCTTTTAAATAAATTAATTGACCATTTCCACTCCAAATATAAATTTTGCTTCGCGTCAAAAAATCAATCGACTGTGATGCTTTATGAAATTGGGCCAAACGGATTGCTTAATTTTCAAGTGAATGCAATATCATTGATATGAATATATTTATAGAGCAATGATGACAGTGATAATCATGATGACATTACTATTACTAGAAAATGTGATAACTTCAAATGCACTGAAAAATGTGATAACTTAAAATGGGAACAAATAGTGAAAGTAATTCTTGACTTGTCTTGTCTGGCTGAATGAAAAGTTAAAAATAAATATAAGATTGCAAGATTTAAAAATTAAAAATAAAGAAGTGAGAAAGTTATTTATGAAATTAATCGAAGCATTAATTACAGCTTGAAAACAGGCATTTTATGATTATATTAAAGCAACAGCGAAAAATTAACTAAATATAAATTTCGATTTACGAATGAAATGATATCGTTGCAGACTGCTACAAGAAAGAAATAGCGCTGAAAACTGATTTACAAGCAGTCAATTTGCAGAAATATGCAAGTCAGAGTAGCAATCGGCAGTGACAGTGGAAAGGATTTAAAATATTTTCAAATTTCAAAAAACAGATTAAATAAGAAACTAACAAGAATATCTGTAAAAATTTATAAATATTGCAGTACATTTCAAATGTTTTTTCCATTACTCTCTAAAATTTAACAACTGAAATTGTCTAACAACTTAAAAATTCAAAATATATATTTGAGTAACTTTGCCAGGAAAGGAGAGTATGTCAAATAACTTATGATTTTTTGAAAAGGATGCTTGATTTCTTTACATTTATTAAATAAACTAGCAATAGGTATGTATATGTACTTCTTAGTAGATGGTTAAGTTTGGAAAATACTTAGAAAAACTTCAAATTTAAATAAATAATTCCTTCTTAGCAAATTTTCCAAAAGAGTACACGTGGTTATTTTTTCTGTTTATTTTAACGAGACATGGCAA